AGCTTCTCTCCCTGTCTGTGTGTCTCATGGAGAGCAAGCTGGGGTCTGTGAAAAGACAAATTCCTCATACAAGAAATTATATATGGCCAATAAAGTGATCTTAGCTTATCTTACTGCAGCTGTGGGACTTCCATTCGTTACATGCAGAAAGAGATGATGGAGGAGAAAACAGATTTTATTAATGGCCTTATCACACTCACTACTGCAACAGAACAAGAGCACAATTACTGCTAGTGCCGTACTGACATCTGTGACGGGATATGGTCAGGGGGTGACCAGATCTAAAACGTCATGACTTTATAACAAACTAGACTGCTGCCACCTCCACACAATCCATTCAGCTGCATTGAGAGAGAGACTGATTGCAACACTCATGAACAACAGATACTTAGCTGTTCAGGGAACCCCAGTGACTCTGCTGCTCCGCTCGGGGGAGCTGTTGCAGTGGGCAAGAGGTAGACTGGCTCGTGCCCCGGGAGCCCCAGCCTGGCCTCCACACTCCCAGCCGTGTTTCAGTGTGAGCCATGCCTGTAGGGCACCACCCTCTCCCACTTCCTCCTTTTAAGGGGCTGAAACCTTAGCTTTCTCTAAAGTTCAGATTGGATTTCCCTGGGCTCCACTGATTGTGGCATTTAAACTGTAAACTGTTCTATCCCGGGATGACAACCTTGTCCATCAGGGAGACAGTCCTATCCTGCAGAGATACATCCCTTCCCACAGACCTTTCCTTGTACCAGGTGCTTGACAGCATGCTGCCCTTCTGCACAGTCACATGTCACAGGGACACCTTCAGCTTTGCCTGCAATTTGTCATTTTTAGTACAGAATCAAACACCCAGAATACAGTCCAGTAGTACTCAACACTGCTGTACCAACACCAGCTAGTCCACAGTCCCAGTGTTAATCTTGAGTGTGCAGCCAGCACACGCCACTTGGAATCACTGTCTCTGTGTCTGACTCTGTTAGTCCAGCTCTGCCAACACATCTGAGTGACTTGAACCTGGCATAGACCTCCAGATGCAAGCGAGCTGGAGTGCTCAGAGGTATAGACCACCCCAAGACAAGACATCTAAGAACGGAGCAGGACCTGGGCTAGTCCACCTTCCCTGTGGTTGTTCACTTCATGAAGACCTTGACTTGACAGCCACAGTGGATCATAAACTCTTTCATCGTAATATATTTAATTGAAAGTGCAATACCATAATCAGCTGCAATTCTCTACGCCAGCTCACTTCTGAACTTCCTTAACATTTGATATAGTAACAGACTCTTCTGCTTAAAGCAAATTATTAGCACTCTGCCAGCTTATCCAGGGAAACAGCTGTCCCTGAGTAGACCTGTACCAGTCCAATGCAAAGCAGTAGCAGGGTAAAACCCACAGGTGCAGCATAGCCGGACTCTGAGCAGTGATGTGCTTGCTCCGCTACTGCCCCCGTGCTCAGACCCCTGCGTTGGCGGCCGGTCTTACCATTCAGGCTGAGGCTATGCTGGATGGTGACATGGGGAGGAGGAGGAGGCAGAGGGAGGGACTGCAGGGAAGCCCCAACAACATTCAATAGGAAAGGCCCTGGCTGCGGCCCACTTATATCATCTGCAACAGAACAAGAGTGCACAGTTTCAAAGGCGGCCAGGTCAGGAGGTGATGCATGGTACAGCCAGCCGACCGCTGTGAAGGTCCAGACAGCGATGGGGCTCCTAGTCAATCAGCTGACCTTTCACCTTTTCCTGGCTGTTATGCTCCACTGGTGCAGAGCCCTGCCACATTAAAATGGTTCCGCCATCTAAGCACTGTGGATGTATCAGTTTTCCCATAACACTCCCATAGAGTAATTAGGAGTATCATGTGGAAGTGTCTGCGTCAGGCCCTGCACGATGCTCAGGGTTGAGCTGTACCAGACAGTGCTGTCTGTAAATGATATTTTTCATTGCTCCTGACTTCTCCACTGCTGGTATAAGTGTTCTCTCTCCGTCAAAGCAGCCCATTTTCAAGCGGTGGGACTCTGTGTCTGTCTGTACTTTCTGCACAGGCATCAGCACTGACACACAGGCAGACAAACAAGAAGCAGTAGCAGGACAGAGCACAGTCTGCACTGGGCAGTCCACAGACACACAGACCACAATGCCACTACACAACCCTCGCGCATGTCTGACCCTACAGCTGCACTCCGGGCTTGTGAACTACAACCATGGTATATTGTCAGCTATAAAATTACTCAAACTCCCTCACAAAGTTGCTTGAGAGCTGTTGTTGACTGCCTTGAACAAAAGCAGCGTAAGTCTTTATATTTTTGTATGAGTTGGTCTAAGATACCTAATTAACACTCTTTTCTTCAAATAAGGCACTAAACCAGCCTGATTCAACAACTTGGAATGAGCTAAGGGCAGCTGACAAATAAAGGCCTGTGGTCAAAACACACACTTCAGCTCTACAGAGACAGCAAGAAGTGTGACAGTTCCACCTGCTGCTGAACTTCAGCCCTTCAGGAAAGCAGAAATGGAAAAACGTTTGAGGACTGGCTGCAGGAATCTGAAGATCGAGCACATAACTTAACTGCAGCTTTGAAGATTAGAAAACACATCTGAAAGTGATCAAGTTGGGAGACAGAGCTGCCCAATGTTACAAATAATGTAATAAATTGTGCACCACAGAAAACACCCTGCAAGACTGTCCGCTTTTCAACGAGACTAAATATACAACAAGAACAGACCAACCAGCTACTGACACTGAACAATCTCCTGCCCAAGGTATCTTATATACAGAAATTTCACACTGCAAACAGAAAAGATGAACTGGACCCAGCAGGTCCCTCGTGGCTCACAATAATCTTCTCCCTGTTGCTCTGCCATAGCTCACTGTCTGCACTGAAGCAGCCAATCCCTCCCAAACAGCACAGAGCACTGACCCAGCCTGCAGGCTTCACTGACACCCTGTCTTTAACTGCCTGCCTTAGAAAATAAGAACATGACTCACGCAGATATTCCCTATCAGTAAAAGACATGGAGACGTGTGGCTGTTTGAGTCCTGTGCTTTTGCTCAGACACTCTACACTTGCACAGTTCTGCAGTAAAACGGAGCAAACAATTCGGCCGGCTATCGCACTGCAGTATGACCCACTTCGGTTTTTACCGGGTGCAGGAGTCTTATACAAATTGCAGCAATCAAACAGAAAGTAATGTATCTGAAAACATTCTAGCTACTGCTGGTGTATCTATACTAACTTCGTTAAAACAAAGTAACGGCTTCCACAGTAGCACCCTAGAACAATTTAAAACTGCAGTAAAACGTGAATCTGATTTGCTTTCCGGAGCCAACGGCAGAGGGAAGGATTGAAGGAGAGTGCACACAAACAGAGATGACAGCACACAGAAACCGGGCTCTGCACTGGGGGGCACAGACGGACTCCTACCCTCCCTCTATCTCCATTTTCTGTGGAAGAAGCTGCCCACTGTCCTCTCCCCCCCCACCCCCCACCAGGAACATAGTGGAGGGGCTGCAGCGATGAGTGATGGCCTGTCCCAGGAGGAGCGCCCAGACACGCTGAGCAACCTTAACCTTTTGCAACTCTCAACTGTAGAATTATCCAAATCTTTCTCTAAGGGGGCAAGAAACTAAATTTCCCCTTTGCCTTAACAATATTATTACCAACTAGATTAGCACCTTTTATAGGGCACTAACTGAATGGCAGTTACTGTACAAAAAGTATAGCTCACTTGTAGAAAAATTTAAAAATATTGTCAGAAAGTATAATATTACTGGTAATAAAGTACTTTAATTATTAATATGTTATAGATCCAATGGTAAGATTTTTTATAATAAAATTATAAAGTAAAAATGATATGAAATGGCAAGAACACAACTGGGCGTCCAAACAGCTTAACTATTCTCACCAGGGTCTGTCAGCAGATATGTTTCCTTGACTATTCTGCCATAAAACGTAATGTTTATTTTTACTGTTTGTTATTTGTAAGATTCTGTGCTCATAAACCACAAAACACATTTCTGAGAAATAAGACAAAGTGTTATTGTATCATACAAAAATAAAATGAACCACAATTCATTGTGTTCAGCATTACAATTAAACATCGATCATCTAGTCTTTCTTTTGATATACTTCAGTTTTTTTTCTAAGAATTGTTTTTCAAAAGTTTCATCGTCTGCATGTTTTGCAAGAAAGGTTCAGATCAGAGAATCTGAATGAATCTCTGGACATGCCAGCAGTGAGGGAGTACAGACACAGGACTTGCTGCTCTGGTTTTAAAAGTCAGGAGTAACAAGAAGCACCACACTTCATGGCAGCAGTCAGAGCTGTGAAGTCAAGTCCTGGGAACGTCTGCCAGGCAGAGTGTTGCAGCTTCACTGCTAGAGCTGCAGCAGGACACTGCAATGCCCGCGGTATCACACACAGTGCCCTTACGCTTCACCTCATAGAAAAACAAAATCACCTAGTTTTTGGTAAACAAACTAAATAGCAGGCCCGCTGAAGACCAGACCTCGCAGTGCTGTACAAGATGTTTGAGCTGGAAGCAGAAAGCGATGATGTCTCCTGACAATCACATAAGCCCTCCAGTGTCTGATGTGTTTCTTACAGAAGTGTGCTGGGGGTGGAAGACTGGCAGTAGACAGAGCAGCTGCAGTGCAGTAGCCACAACAAGGCACAACAACAGAGACAGACAGACAAGTGTGGTGACGGAAGTGATTTCAGTTCGGGTTTAATCTCCCTTCACTCTGAGAAGTTCCGTTTGGCCTCAGTGCAGCTCCAGACACAGAGTGAGGTGGGGCAGCAGAATCTTACCTAACAGGCTCAGGCTCCGACGAGGTGGGGGAGGTGGGGTGGGAGGGTGCAGAGAGTTCGCTCCCCTTCGAGAGATATCCACATCCACAAGCGACACAGTCTCGCCTGCCGGTACCGGAGAGAGGGAGACGAGAAGAGCAGTCACTGACAGTCACCCTGAAAGGGTCATAACTAGTTCAAGAACATCAGGAAGGCAAAAAATGAGTGGTGGTCAATTAGCCCAGCTTGCTAGTAACAAACCAAGAATCAGATCCAGCTGGAACACCTTCAAGAGTGTGTTTGGAAGGTTTGTGTCTGAGCGGACCTGAGTGTCCTGGATAAGATTCCACACAAGAGGTTGAGAAACAGTGAAGACATTACAAAACGATTCAGACACCATCCGGCAGTGCGCAAACTCCTGGAAAATGGTCCTGAACTCAGACAAGTGCCAAGACCTTGGAAATATAAAATGAGTGGCACTGGGCTCCTGGATGTGACCTATGAGAAGACTTTAGGTGTTGTTGTGTGGTCTGAGGGTATATTGTGAAAAATAGCAGAATTCAAGTCAAGAAAAGTTATGGTAACTAAATAATATGTTGATACAACCTGATTTAGAATACTGTGTAAACTTGGGGTCATTAAAATTAAAAAATATACATTCAATTCAAAGAAGGGCAAAAATGTTTTATACATACAGGTCAAATGAACCAAACCTCTTATGAGGTGCACAACTTCAGTACTAACTGTGAAACGAGGACAAAAGGACACTAGAGAAAACTCAGAAGAACTTCAGTGCATTCATTCTGATTCAGGAGGCACATCTTTACACAAAGGGTTGTAGGGGCTTGGAACAAACTGCCCAGCTATATAACTGGAGTTAATTCTCTTGGATCCTGCTGGATAAAATCCTTGGATTAATAAGTTACCAGGAACAAAATGAACACATCCAATATGTATGAGGTCTTGTCCACCTGTATAGCAAAGTACAGAGAGCAGCGGTGTGGAGTAGTGCTTAGACTCTAGACTCTGGCTTTCAATTAAAAAAAAACTCTAGTGGCCTAGGCCTAGTCAACACAATCAGGAAGGCTCTCACCTGTGAAGACAGGGCTGAAGGAGACAGAAGAGAAGGCACTTTGAGTCCTGGTCAGACACGGCTTCCTGCAAGGGGACAGAGACACTGTCAGCATGACAAGTCTTAAAATTAAATTCAATTTATTTTTATATAGCGCTTCTCACAACAAAGTTGCCCCAAAGCACTTATCAATGCAAGTGACCACACATGTGAATACAGAACAGAAAAGACCAGAAGACAACGGAGGAGAGGAACCAAAAACTCCTTAGTAAGGAGAAAACAAACCCCTAGGGGTCCAAGGTCAACTGGCTGCCCGACTGACTACAGATCTCTGTTGACCAGCAAAGTCCTCCTAAACGATAGTTATATCCATGGTGTCCCTCTTGGATCCATGGCAGTGATGCAGCATTTGACTCAGATGGTGCCCATCTCAGGCACCATCTACCTCTACAGATGTATCTACCTGGTGGGCCAACACAGAGACACACAATGGCATGTACAGCATCACCAGCAGCCATGGTTGCAGCAGGCTATGATGTAAGGTGTGAGTAGGCTAGGCTGAAGTAACAGGTTTTCAGTCTGGATTTGAATACTGAGATTAACTCTGCATCCCGAACATGGGGTGGGAGACCGTTCCATAAGCTAGGGGCCTGTAACTAAAGGCTTTATCACCAACTTTTTTTATTAATGCGTGGAATATGAAGAAGACCTGCATTCTGTGATCTAAGCAGGCGACTTGGATGGTAGCATTAATGAGTTCTATTAGATAGACAGGTGCCTGACTTCTGAGAGCCTAATAAGTAAAAGGATTTTTAAGTACACCCTGTAACTGACAGGAATCCAACGAAGAGAGCTAAGTACAGGGGTTATATGGTCGTACTTTCTGCTCCTAGTAACAATTCTAGCTGCTGCATTCTGAATTCGCTGTAAGGTGTTGAAAGAGTGGTGGGTGCTCCCTGATAGTAGGGCATTGCAGTAGTCTAACCTGCTGTGTACAAGAGCATGTATTAATTTCTTTGTGTCTTGAGTGGAGAGAAACTACCTTAGTTTTGCAATATTTCTTAACTGTAGGAAGCATGTTTTCGATACATAGAGAGTTAAACGATAAATGAGAGTTAAATGAGAGCCTTGTGTCTAATGCCTAGGTTACGTGATGAGTCCTTGAGGCAAATTTTTAAATCCTCTGAGTTAAGTCCTGAAGTTAAAGTAGTCCTATCAGTATTGTTGCCTCCAAACAACAGAACCTCATTTTTATCAGAGTTGAGTAACAAAACGTTTTCACACATCCAAGTCTTTACTTCATTAATGCAATTAACTAAAGTGATAATAGTGTTGTCGTTAGGTGTAAACAAAATGTATATTTGAGTGTCATCAACATATGAATGAAAGTTAATGTTTTTGTATTATCCTACCTAGCGCCAGCATGTACAGAGAGAACAATATTGGTCTCAGCACTGATCCCTGTGGTACCCCAAATTGAACTGGTGACATTGATGAAGCAGTACAATTATTAGATAATTGAACAAAACGAAAACGATTAGTTAAATATGAAGTAAACCACTTAAGGATGGTTCCACATAAGTCAACCTCAAACTCAAGCCTGTATAACAAAACAGAGAGGTCAAAGGCAGCACTAAGATCTAGAAGCACAGGCACTGTTGCATTCCCCACGTCAGTAGCTAACAGAATGTCATTTACGACTCTTGTTAATGCAGTTTCAATGTTCTGGCCTAGGCAGAAACCCGATTCGAATTTCTCAAGTATATTATTTGAGTCCAGATACGATTGAAGTTGGGGCCACAACTATTCTCTCAAGAATTTTAGATAGAAATGGGACGTTTGAGACAGGCCTGTAGTTGTTAAGAACTTGTGGATCCAAATTTGGCTTCTTAAGGAACAGTCTAACAACCGCTACCTTAAATTGATCAGGTACAACACCTGATGCAAGGGACTTGTTCATTATACTAATATGGGTCCTGCCAGTACTTCGAGGGAATCTTTGACTAGCTGAGTGAGGATGGGATCTAGTGGACAGGTGGATGACTTTGTCTAATTAATACATTTCTTGAGTTCTTGTTCAATAACTAATTGAAAAACACTAAAGAGGTGCACATATTGTTTCTGTACCAGAATTCTTTGCGGCTTATTTGATTGTGTTTGGTGTTAATTTTATTATTAAAGAAATTCATGAAATCGTCACTACTGAAGTTAAATGGTACTATAGGATCGGTCTTATTTGTAAGATTAGCTCTTGTCTTAAATAGGTAGCAAGGATTATTTTTATTGGTTTAAATAAGTTCAGAGTAGTAGACCAAACGAGCTCTATATAGGGTTTTCTTATATTACTGCAGGCCATCAGTCCATGCTGACTTGAATACTTGTAGACCAGTAGACCTTCATTTGCACTCTAGTTTGTGGCACTCCTGTTTAAGGGATCGTGTGTGATCATTACACCATGGAGAGTGTCTAGTGGCTTTGACTACCTTAGTCTTTAATGGGGCAATTTCATCAAGGGCCTGTCTGACCACTGTTTTATAGTTATGTGTGATTTCTTCAACATTATTACTGGAGATGAAGATAGCATTGTTCATCGTGCTCATGAAATTTAATGAAGTACCCCTGTTGATGTGTTGTGTTGTAATAGTCTTCTCCTTGGGAGCTATCAAGCGCAGTCGAATCTCAAAAGTAATTAAAGAGTGGTCAGAAAAAGAGTTATTGATTGGATGGACTAGTACATGATGAATATCAACTCTATGATAATTAAGTCTAGTGTATGACTGTATATGTGTGTTGGTCCTGTTTAATGCTGACTACAACATACAGAGACAAGGAGAGACAATACATTTTTACTGAAGGTGTTTGTCAGTAAATGTCCATATGTATGTTAAAGTCGCCTAATATTACAACTTAGTCTAAATTCATAACAATCAGAGAGCAGTTCACCAAATTCTGCAAGAAACAATGCATATGGTCCTGGGGGTCTGTACACTTAAAGAATGTATGTACATGATTCGGGTGCTATTTTAAGGAGCATTGCTTCAAATGTGTGAAAGTCATTAACAGTTTTTAATTCAATTCTCAGAGACTCACTGAACATGGCTGCTAGGCCACCTCCACACCCTGAGCAACGAGCTTTCTGTAAAAACTATATAGCCATTAGGTGAGGCTTCAACTAAAGGAATAGTGTCAGTGGGCCTAAGCCAGGTTTCTGTTAGTAGGCACAGCTCAGAGTAGGTGTCAAGCACCATATCATTAACCAGAACTGATTTGTTGCTTAGTGAGCATTTAACAGTGAGTATTTTATGGTAGTTACATGTTTTAACTGATTTACGCTTACCAGTGGAATGGAGATGAAATTGTCAACACAAGAGCCCCTAAAGGAATAAATTCTAATCTAGGTCTAGTGATAGGTGCAATACTGTGTTGCAATATAGTTGCAATGTGATTGGTGGGATGCTGTGTGGTAGAGAACCATAAAACAATACATTCTTGCAGCTTTCTGTGCATCCAGGTGTGGCTCAGTGCAGGGCGCCGTGTGCCGGTGTCCAGGTGTGGCTCAGTGCAGGGCGCCGTGTGCCGGTGTCCAGGTGTGGCTCAGTGCAGGGAGCTGTGTGCAGGTGTGGGTCAGTGCTGGGAGCTGTGTGCAGGTATAAGATATATTTGGGTTGTATGGAGAATCTGTGGCTTTGCCGAGGCCCGTATGTTTTGTCAGCTTAGAGGTTTAACAGTGACAGACTCCCAGGTAGGGTGAAAGTCAGGAGAGCAAAAGAGAAGATGGTATTTTTTTAACAACTCATAGAGCTTCTCAGACTGCTTGCGTTTTATGCTAAAAAGCATAATTTACAGAATACTGAAGATGATGTGAAACAGAAAATAAACTAGATAGGAAAAGGAGGAAGTGAAAGAGGCTTTATCAGCTTGAGAACAACAGCAGAGTTCATCTTGACTTGTCTTGTGCGGGGAAAACAAACAATAAAGCTAATCAAGGATGGAAGAGTGAGCATGCATCTGGTACCAGTCATTATGGACACATGCTGGTACAGTAATTCTTAATTCTGTGTAGCAATGCAGTGTGTCACGTGAGGTCACTGCTTCTCCACCCCAGGAGATACCAGCCTCACAGCCCCACTCCTGCACCCAGAGACCTCACTGTCCCAGGACACGCAGTAGAGACAACCTCGCCTCACTGTCCCAGGACACTGAGGACTGTCCTCCTGGTACAGACCCCCTCACCTCACTGTCCCAGAACACTCAGTAGAGACCCCCCCCACCTCACTGTCCCAGGACACTAAGGACTGTCCTCCTGGTATAGACCCCTCAGCTCACTGTCCCAGGACACTGGAGGGATGAGAAACCAGGCTGGGCTCCCACACTGTCAGGGACTCTCACACAACTGTCACACAACCAGACACTTTTGTGTTGTACGATACTGTCGGGGACCTCTACTGACTTTCCCAAACCACAAACAAGCATATCAACAAAAGAGAGAGTAGAGCTTAATTCTTTACACAAAGGGAGGTGGGTGTATGGAACACTCTACCCAGCCATGTTGTACAAATCGATCCCCTGGCTGACTTTAGCAAAGTGAGCTAGATCAGCTTAATGGCTTCAACTCATTTCTGACCTTTTTATATTCTTTTGCAGTTATGTGTTATGAATAATTATTTTTTTAATTATGTTTTTTATTTACTAGAACATTTGTCATTTGTAATTGATATTACTTTATGTAAATAATTAGTATTATTGTCTACAATGTACTAGAATGGTTACATAAATCTTTGGATGTGGACATGTCACATGAGGGGTCTAGAAGTTTCTAGACTTGATTCAGGTGTATAAAAAAGGGGATCAACTTAGTGGTGGGAAGAGTAGAGAATAGAGAAGAAGGATGGAGAGGGATTCAGCACTCTTTAGGATCCGCTCACTTACGGATAAGATTTATATTCGGATTTACTGTTCGTTGAGAGACTTTGGACATTGAACTTTGCGACTTGTTTTTACTTCATTTTGGTGGACACACAAATAGAAAAGGAAACCCGAAGAACAGCTTAATCTACAGAAAAGTGATGGAAGTGCATTTATGGAC